AATCGTCTGAGATACATATCGGTTTGAGTAGATCTAGGACTCCACTAGGTAGTAGATTTGTCAATGCTTCCCAGTCCCAACCCACTCCTTCCACCCAATAATGTCTTATTGGATATTGAATTTCTTGCTCTGAGATTGGATGTAAGGCTTTGGATATCAAAGGTCCTATAGATAGCCATTTGTGGGTCCAGAACAAGGTACATATTCCATTTCTAACGTCGATTGTCTCCCCTTGATTAAATACTTCCAAACCTTTCACTACTGATTTCCAAATTTCTGAGCAACCTGTAGGTTTTTTATAAGGAACCGACAGATTTCCCTTCGAATACTTGTTGAGTAAACATCTTGCCCATAAGGTTGCCTTATTTTTAGCCAATCGCCAACCCAACTTTCCTGCAAGGGCAGCATTCAAAACTCTTAAGTTTCGGATTCCGAGACCACCTTCATGTTTAGGACAAATAACTTGTTCCCAATTTACGAGGTGTACATGCTTCTCACCACCACTTCCTTTCCATATGAAATCCCTGCATATCTTCTCCATTTCATTGATTAACGCAACGGGCAAAATACTAATTTGCATAGGATAAATGGGGATAACATTTAGAACCGAGCTAGTCAATGTCACTCGACCCGCTCGAGATAAACTCTTCGCCCTCCATCCCTCTAGTTTGCTGCGCATTTGCTCCAGTATGTATCTGTGAGTGTTCGAGTTAATCTTTCCATGAAGAGATGGAACTCCGAGGTATCTTCCCAACTCACTTGTCAGAGGTATTCCTGCCATTCGGGAGAGATCTGCGGCCAGAGTAGCATCAGTGTTAGGAGAAACAAACACAGCTGATTTGGCTAGATTGACTTTCTGACCCGAGACTCTGCCAAAACAATCCAGAGTTTTCAAAATATTTTCATTTGGAAAGTAGAGGCTTCAGCAAACAAGATCATATCATCAGCAAACATCAAATGAGTTATATATGGACCCCTTCTCGAAATTGGCAGTGGTTTCCAAGTTCCATGATCTGAAGAATATCGAATCATATGAGCTAAGTGTTCAATGTTGGTTTAGTGCTCTATGATGTGTAATAACCCGTAAATTCGACTTTCAAACCGAATTTTAGGAAATCAAATATGAGCCATAAAAATGTCCTTAAAATATTGAATTAGACCCTAACCAAGTTGACCCGAAGGATTAGACCGAAACGAGCGAGAAAAACGGGCGGAAAGTTGGTAGGACTGTCCGGTCTGGGAAGCAGACCGTTCGGTCTGGGAGGCGCAGACCGTCTGGTCTGCCCAGCCAGACCATCCGGTCTGAGGTCGCGGAATCGGATTCTCACGCGCCGCCACCTCCTGCTTCGCCATGCAGCCGCCTCTCCCACCCTTGGCCACCTCCTGCTTCTTCTGGGACGCGAGAACTGCCCTAAGTTCGCCCATTTCGCAGTTCTTCGCCTCTCACTTCGCTCTCTCACTCCCCCACAAACTCTCTCAAATTCCGAATCTTCAATCCTTGATTGGAGCTTCGATTTCAGTCGAAATCAAACAAGGAACGCATAAATCAACCCTACAGAATATCCCCAACGAAACCCCAAGCTCGAATTTGTGCTAAGTGAGTATTTCGGATTATGCCCAAAAATGATAATCAAATTGAAAATGGAGATTTGCGTGGATTGAGTGCAAATTGCATGAAATTGATTGTAGATTTGAGTTCCTGATGTTACTAGGATCATTTTGGGGTATAGCGTGTTGAATTTGGTGCGAAAATGCGAAACTCGAAAATCCCTGGTTCGCCTAGACCGACCGGTCCAGGTCGGGATCGTCCGGTCTAGGGTTGCAGGTTCGCGAGGAAGAAGACGACCTCAGACCGTCCGGTCTAGGTCTCCAGACCGTTCGGTCTAGAACCGTCAGTCCGTTCGGACCAGAATCCACGGACCGTCCGGACCGAACCTTTAGTCCGTTCGGACCGGACTGGACAGTCCGTCCGTTCCGGACCTCTATCTCCCCGTCTTGGCTCGTTTCTTCGGACCGAGCGGGATCCGATGCTACCGACCCCTATACGTGACCTACCCTGACCCATCCTTACTCGTATTTCATGAAACTCGAATGAAACAACCTACGGTAAGTAAAACCTTCGAAACGAATTGAATTGGTAATCCGAGATGGTCGGAACCCAATTTGATCGGATCGGAGGATAAAAGAATAGAATGAACGTAAAAGAATCGATATACCAAAAATGACAAGTAAGGACGTATGTATATATGATTAAAGTATAATGATATACGAGTGTGTGTGATTGGGGAAATCAGGTAGTTGGCATGGCGTAAGACTTTATTCTGGAGGGTCGGGATAAGGTTGAGCGTGTGATTGTAGCGGGTTGATGTGATATTCCGATGATTTCATTGGCTGAGATCTCCTCTTTATGATCTCTGACCCGGGTCGGGTTTCATATTGAGGAGGCATGATTGTGATTGGTTGCCCACGGGCAGAGCTTGGAGCCGATGATACACGTGATAGTCTTGAGCGATTCGGCTATCATGGGGTTGAGGAAATCCTACGGTTACATTGTAACCGCGCCAACGTTCCACTAGCTATGGAGCGGGTTCGGGATTGAGTGATT